GCTTAATTTTGTATAAATGATGGGTGTGGCCCCTTTCGGTGCAGAGTCGCTGGGCTTTATAGGGGAATTTGAGGTTTCATTCTTTAAAATACCTCTTCTGTACCATTGGCGGGATTGTTTGTAATAAGAATAATTTCCCATGGTTACTTTATTTTCCAGGTGAGTGATACAGGCCATCTGAGCCTCTTGTTTCCAAAATAAATGTAGTGCACACAAAAATAAGCCATTTCTCCAGTAGATTCCCGTGCACTCCCACTTCTCGCTACCCAATGTGATGTTTTTTTCTGAGGTTCAACCTTGGTTTATATGCATGTGTTGATTTCTATCCAGAAAATAAAATTTGAAAAATACCCAAATCTGATAAACTTCTGTTAACATGGGCAAACTTGTGAAAGGCACGGCAGTGTGAACTCGAGAATGCCATACGTAAACCAGAATGCCTAGACTACAGCTGCTCAGCAAACTTTCAGTTTTTCCATATATTATTTGGGGGATTGGATATATATCAATTTCAAGATCTCAACAGTCATGCATGGTACCTACACTTGACTTTCGAATAGAATGTAACGTCTGACAAATTATTTTCACTTTTCGATTCTTTAATTCGGAGGATTATGTCTTTGTGATCGTAGTGATCCAGCTAAGTATGTGTATGGTGCAGCATTCTAATTCGTATTTAAAATTCTCTTGTAATGATAAGGTCAAACTGCAAAGTACCTGGTTGGGTAAAAATTGCTTTCTTGTATAAAGCTTTCCGAATAAATTGACAATCGCAAGTGTTGTTTGTTACACTTTGCAATAAGAGTTAGCCAAATCTGTCCGTCGTCAATCATTGCGTCGGGGCGTCAATCATTGCATTGAGGCACAGGTTTGAGACGTATGTTAAGGTTTCATCGATGCTTCCATCAAAAAACATCCTGAAGTTATACGAGTTTTCAAAAATGTGTTTATGTACCTGTACGGTACATGTTAACTCTAACGTTGTTCACTTATGAAGAAAGTGCATTTAAGATATCATTGGAAAAATCAATTTAGTTCATAATTGTTCATCTTTGAAGAATTGTTTTAATTTCATAATTATTTTAAAAAATGAAGGTGTTTCATTATCAATATCGTTCTTAATATAGTTTGGTTCTACATCATAAATAAAATATATTTTCATTTCATAGAGAAAATTAATATTGGTTATAAGTTAAAGATACTGACTGAAGTGAGGGTTTCAATTTTGTGATATATTGAATGCAAAACAGTTTGCTAATTCAAATACCTAGCATATACTGTACTTTGAAAATTTGAGCTGAAGGATGAAGATACATATGTACCAAGTACCCTGTAGCTGACTATTGCTTTAATTGACTATATCAATCACTTTGATTGTCTGTATCAAATCATCCCAGTTTTTAGGTCACCAGAGACAAAATCTCAAGTGACCTATTGCGATCGCCTTTTGTCCGGCGTCGTCCAGCGTCCGGAGTCTGGCGTGTGTCCGTAAACAATTTACATTTTCGACTTCTTCTCCAAAACCCCTGAACCAATTTCAATGAAATTTTGCAGAAACCTTTCATGGCCAAAGGTCAACTAGAATTGGGAATTATATGGTCCCCAGCCCCCAGGGGCTTACACATTCTTCATAGATTGAAGGGTCTTAAGGTGCTTCACTAAAATTGTGAATTTCTTGACCCTGGGGTGTTGCGTTTCCCCCTGGGGAGGGGGTAAACTTTACTATAGTTTATATAGGGAAATCACATTTTAGACCAACATTTGTTTAATTGCCATTGGAAGTAATTCAATTTAGGTTAGCATGATCAGTATTGGGTAGCAGTTTGATGGTATGCACATATCAGCCCTGACTGACCCCCAGTGGCTGATGGGTCGGGCCAAAAACGGTTGAATTGACTGAAATTTCAAAAATCTTCTTCTCAAGACCCAGATATGGTAGAATCAAATACTCTTCATAGATGGAAGGGTCTTAAGGTGCTTTACCAAATTTGTGAATTTCATGACCCTGGGGTCTCATGTTTCCCAGTGGAGAGGGGGTAAACTTTACTATAGTTTATACAGGGAAATCACATTTTGGACCAACATTTGTTTAATTGCCATTGGAAGTAATTCAATTTGGGTTAGCATTATCAGTATCAGGTGCAAAATTTGTTATGGTTTATAATGGCAAATGATACTTTGAATATGACATGTTGATAACTTGATTGGAATTTGTTAAAACCAAAAATCAACTCTCTGTATTAATATATCAGGTGACCGTTAAGGCTCATGGGCTTCTTGTTAATATTTATGCATGAAATAGATGAACAATTTGAAAAGTTATAAGATTTGAAAAAAGAAAAAGGAAAAATATTCAGTTATACGTTTGATATAGAACCAAATAAAGAGTAGTTCTATCAACCATTTGTTCAAATAAAACCTCACAAATGAATTCCAGTTAAAAGCTGTTTCCTCTGAAAAAGAGCGTACATGTTTAGAAGGGTAAGAAAAAGCTTGTCGTTATTAATCTTAGACCAGATTGTGTAACAAAATTTTATATTCAGCTATCTAGGTGACAACTACAACAATTTGTTTTTTGTTTAAATTAGCTCGAAACGACACAATAAAAGAACTCCAAAATGAAATTCAAAGAGTGTGGTTTGGATGACAAGTGAATATTTCATCAGACATACAAAATTTAGTGGAAACGTGACACGTACAAGCCATTGTTGTCACATGTTCAGACACCAATGATGCGCGGCTATTCACCGACAATGCTAACTTATTTTAATTATGGCCTTGTGTTGGGCATACTCATGAGAAAATTAATTTGAACACTTTTCAATTACCAAACAGTTGAAAATTTCGACTTTTGGCAATGGAAATTGAAAAAGAAATTGTCGCTTATTAACCGTTAGTTTGAGACTGCTTGTTCTAACTGCGGCAAAATCTATAGAAGGAAAAATTCTTTGAATTTCTATGATGATTAAAATGTTCATTAGCCTAGAAATTGCAGGCGTTTTTTCTGTACGAGTATTTTTTTTGCAACACCCTTGTTTAGTTCTCTTCAGCAAAAAAAAAATAAAAAAATCTCCATGCAAGAGAAAAGTATCCAAGTTAACCATATTCACCAAATATACTGTGCCTTTGATATAACTACAGACATATTTGTGTAGTTTGTTAAACCTTGTTGAATGGAGGTGCTCAGTCTTTTCTGTAATTTAAGGGTTATGGCATGTAACTTGAAATATAAAAGATAAATTAGTGTAAATAACGCTGAAACTTTATTTTAAAAATGTCTCATCAGGTTATCGTGATTATTATATTCCAAAATACAAAAAATCTGTTTGGATATAATTTATTAATTGAATCATTTTCTGTAGTTCTGTCTTTAAGGTAAAGAAAATCACAAAGTTAAACTATGATGTTACCATTGTCACTACTGTGAAATATTTGTTTATATCCTTTTCAAAAGATGTGTTCCATATCACATATTGCCATGCATTTTACAGAACTATAATTCTTCAAAATTTGAATGTTTGAAAATTTTACACATAAAAAAGAAAACACAAAAAACAGTGTCAAGTTTATGGGCCAGAATGTGCATGAATAACATTCATAGAGGAGTTACTCTAAGCCTGAAAAACTCTCTTTGGGTTTCTTCATGCATCTTCTTTACTAAAAAGGAAAATACTCCAAGTCGAGTGGAAATCTTCCTCTCAATTTTAACTGATATAGTAGTGCCCTTTACCTTTAGTGAACTTTATGTGTCTCTTGATACTGTATGCATCACTTCCAGTACAGAAATCTGCCAATCAAGTTTGTTTGGCCACATCCTGTTGATACATATGTAAACCTATGGAATTTTGTATTAATAACTTTCTATATATATCTGTCTTGAGTGTTGTATAAATCACTTATCTTAGATAAGTCTGGCATAAACTACAGGTACAATGTTTAAGGTAGCATACAGCCTTAAGGGAGATAACTCTTACAGAAATCTCATGTATAATGTGTAAGCTAGCATACAGCCTTAAGGGCGATGTTCTCTAAAACGAATCACATGTGTAATGTATAAGCTAGCATACAGCCTTAAGGGAGAGAACTCTTACATAAATTACAGGTATAATGTGTAAGCTAGCATACAGCCTTAAGGGAGAGAACTCACATAAATAACAGGTATAATGTGTAAGCTAGCTAGCATACAGCCTTAAGGGCGAGATCTCTAAAATGAATCACATGTGTTATGTATAAGCTAGCATACAGCTTTAAGGGCGAGAACTCTAACATAAATAACAGGTAAAATGTGTAAGGTAGCATACAGCCTTAAGGGCGAGAACTCTTACATAAATTACAGGTAAAATGTGTAAGGTAGCATACAGCCTTAAGGGAGAGAACTCACATAAACTACAGGTATATTGTGTAAGGTAGCATACAGCCTTAAGGGCGAGAACTCTAACATAAATTACAGGTAAAATGTGTAAGGTAGCATACAGTATTAAGGGCAAGAACTCTAACATAAATTACAGGTAAAATGTGTAAGGTAGCATACAGTCTTAAGGGCAAGAACTCTAACATAAATTACAGGTAAAATGTGTAAGGTAGCATACAGCCTTAAGGTGTAAGTTATATCCATACATCGTTAAGGGAGATACATACAACACAAATCACGGGTGTATTGTGTAAGTTATCCATACACTAAAAAGGGAGATAACTCTAACATAATGTTTAATATATGAAGAAGTATTCTAACAGTTAAAAGGCATACGACTCTTACACAAATGACAGGTATAATGTGCAAGATAGCATACAGCCTGAGGGATCGTTTTCGAACTATCTGTATGTTTTAAATACGTGACCAAGATATTTACCTGTGATTTCGACAAAGATACTGATATACGTCATTGTTTCCTTCCAGGTTGTGACCTTGACTTTCACTCATCAGTCCTGGATATAGATGGCGTTGTGAGTACACTTTCCTCGTATTTTGAACTCTGATGAATAAAAACAAAGCATTTTGTGTTCTTCTATTTCAGATTTGTCTTTATTTCGAACATTTTCACAAGCTGAACGAACAATCTATAGATTTTGTGTCTTTTTTGTCTTTCTATGATTGGACAAATAGCTCCCATGGTGCAAAGAATACAGCCAGTCTTTCTGATTGCTGTCTTTGATTATGCTTGACTCCATCTAAAATAAAAATAAAAATATTTTGGAAAACAAATATATGTATATACTTGTAGCATTCATTACAAAAGACATAAAAACATAAACAGTAGCTATCAAACAATATTTGTTTTGCTGCATTTCCCAAAAAATCTTTGATGCAACCATTTTTTCTCTCTGTTATTTTAATCTTTTTTTGGAAAGTGATACAAAAAGAAGGATTTTTTTCAGAAAGGCTTTATGCAGGAAATAAGAGTTCCTGTCCTGGCCTTTGTACTTTCGAGTATTTTGCTATCCAAAGATTTTGATCAAGTTCCAGTTAAGTTTTAAATGAGTTTAATACGATGGCCTGATTTGTGCCCTTAAGTCTTGTTGTTTTGTCTTTACGGGGCGAAAAAAAAATAATTATGAGAATAAAAGTTGATATGTTCTCATTTTTCAGGAATCGAAATACAAGAATTCAGGTTTATTAATTCATCAACAAAATGGCGCAAATCAGCCAACAACATTTAGACTTACTTTTATTACACACTGATTTACATGAAGTCAGATGATATTTTCAAATAATTAAATCCTGGTATTGTGTTTAACTGAAAAATAGGAGATAAATGATAGTATGGAAAGGACATGAACTTTACTAGTATCAAATTTTGGATGGGAACAGCGATATGTTAAATAATATGAGATACATTGTACTCCATAAACAATTATTACCTTGCTGGTCTGTGGTAATGTGATATCATCAAGGATATGTGCACATAAATATTATAGTAGGAGGCATTTCATAAACTATCATTTGCTTGCAGAGCTGACATCAACATCTTGGCAAAAAAAATGTGCAGTATCATGTTCTACTGTGTTGGGCCAGCTCTAACAAATATTTGTTTCTTAGGTTTTAAAGATGTTAACTATACAACTTAAATTTTCACATTCTCTGAAGTTATGTTCCTATTTGCATTCAATTTTGAAGTCCTGACTATTTCTCTAGAAGAGCAACATATATTTCCACTGAATTTGTATACAGGTCAAGTGTTAACTATGCAGTTTCAGTTTTTTTTGAAATCTGGCAAAAGTTGCATCTTCGACACTGGAAAATTAACAAATGAAGGTTAATACTTTTGAAAACTGTGGTCCTGCCCAGAGCTGACAATCTATAGCGATACGCCTTCATGCACTTTTATCTCTGTACTGTGCTTCTCTGTACTGTGCTAAAGTTAAGTTTCAAATTTAACTGTCAAGTATTAGACACATGATTGAGGTAATTAAGTATCTGTTTATTCTAGGGTATTATATGTCAGTTGATTATAAGCAAATAATATTTTTAAGGGTAGTTTCATATTTAATTCAGGATCTCATTTCATATTTTGTATGAACTCTCAACATTAAAATTCAAATTTCTTCACTGTTTTTTTTTTTTTATATCATTCTTAATGTATGTCAGACTTGAAATTCAATTTTTTAATTAAGCCTCCTTAACCTTTGGTTTATAAAATTTTAGGATAAGAATTATTTAACGAATTGGACACTTATCTCATTTGACGCCCAAGTTAGAAAACGTCCAACAATTAAGTGACCTTGGGTAATGTGACATGGTATTTGTTAGGTAGTTACCTTACCTCAGACGTTGGTTCACTTAAAAAAACATTAGTTTTCATATATCACCATGCTTCTCTGCATAATATAAAACCTACATATTAAATATGCAAATTTTATCGTTTTTCCATATATAAGCGACTACTTAGTATATACCTTTCGTTGCAGTTTGCTGTAAATAATTTCTCATAAATAAATCTGTAAAATTCATTTCTCCACATCAAGTCTATTGAAGTGTCCTGCATTTAAATTTGTAAAATATTACAAAATGTGTTTCTGCGTTGTCTGTATAACACGTTTTAACAATGGTCATGTTTTATGTGTAGAAATATTGACTTCGTTTGCACAATTCAAAATCGAGATCAAATAATGGATTAGAAATTTGATGGTTTTTTTTATGGTAATATAAGAAAATGACGTTTCTTTGGAACATAATTGTGAAGATTTCAAAAAAGGAAATAGAAATATGTGAGGTCTGACGGATTTAGTCCTTGTATTGAACACACTGGATGGTCCGTAACAAAAACGGAAATTGAAAATGAAGTTATAGGTAGTTTTCTGTAGCTCAAGTGCTTCGTTATTAATACAAAGTTAATGACTCCAGGCTTCTGGGAATGACATACCGAAGCTGTGTATAAAACAGAAATTGGTGGAAATTGGTTTTAATGGGTTAAAACGAGGACATTTAATCTAGATCTTATGACTAAAATGTTTGTGTAAATGATCGTGATCCAGTGACTAGCTTCTCTATAGAATTTATCTATCGCCATACATAATAGGTATTTGTGACAAACGAGATAAAAATTATGACATTAGAAACGAAAGTTATGGAGGAATAAAGCTTGAAAACGTCACAACAGTTGTGTCTCAGAGTAGTGTACAGTCCCCCCTGTAGATCTATATTTTAATGTGAATCTGCAGACGACCATTAATTTTTCTTGTATAAAAGAATATTTTAAGAAATAAATGATGATTCATGTCTCAAGTGCTGTAGAGTTACATACACTTGCAGAACTTTGTATCCGTCTGAATGAGATAAGATTTTAAGGGTTTTGTCAAACAGAGGCTGTATCCTACGGGGCGTATATACAAGAATATTGCTTTGGACATTATCTGGGTTTTGTTATTTTCATGTGTGTATATTTTATGTAAATGCATATTTAATCAAGTTTCTGTGTGTGTGTGCATATTCACTAGTGACAAAAAATTCCCTTTATTAAATCATTTGTGTATCCATGTTTCTGTGTGGGTGGGAGTGTCCTTTCAGCTGTAGAACAATATTTGGATATTTTTTTAGTTCTGTATGCAAACCTACATCATGCTTGTAGCAATACATATGCACTCACGTGAAAGTTTGTATGTGTATGTTGCGGACCATGAAACTTCATAGACAATTGTATCATAACCAGACATAGGTTCTTTTAATTTTTGGGGGGATCAATTTCTGCTAAGGTCAAGGTCAAGGTCAAAGTTAGGGCTTAAAAGTCAAATCTTTCTATTAATTGTCCAGTCTGTTACTCTAAACAACAGTAACATTTCCTGTTTGAGTTTTCATCTATGGATGAATTTTGACCTGTTGATGAATTGTATACATCTCCAAAGTCAATAACCCAAAGGTTAAGGTCACAACAACTTGTCAAAGTTCAAAGGTCATTTCCTGTGAACCTATGAATATTTGTTTATAAATCCTTGATATGTGTATCATGACTAGACAGTGTGTTTTGTAACATTGTTTATGTTTGTTGCATCAAGCAATGTCAAGGTCAGTGTCACAGGTCAGGGGTTAGAGGTTGAATGATACCAATGCTTGCCCCCCTTGAAATAAACTTTAAACCCCTGAGAACAATTTTGCGAAATTAATTATAGATAATGTTTAGATGGGGTGTCACATACTTCTTGTAGGTTGTTGCTCCAAAGGTCAAGGTCAGAGAGTTCAAAAGTGAACTCAGTCTGATGTTTGTCTCAAATATATGTCTCATGATATTTTTATGGCATTTCTTATACAGATGCACCATGAATAGACATTATGTCATAAACCTCTCTTAGGTCTTTATAAATAAGGTCAAGGTCAAGGTCACACCTTGGAGGGAGGAGGGTGGGAGAGTGAGGCAAGATTGACTCATCATGAGACTTTAGGAGTCATAACTTTTAGAATTCAAGGTTTATATGTTATTGAAGGGTCCTTTGAAAATGATATAATGTAGATTATGAAGATTTTCTTGCATTTGTTATTAAACTTGTTAACATCATAAAATTTTAAATTTAAAATCTTTTGAGGAATTAATTAAAAGTTAATCAAGTAAGGAGGCAAAAAATGTGTAATTAAAAAGAAAACTCAGTTTAAATAAACTCATGGAAATTTGGTTAAAATGTGATTATCTTTCGTGCTGTATCAAAATTGCATTACAGAGGTGTTTATAGAAGTACTCAAAGCGAGGCTACCAGAGAAACCACGGTGACATACAATGTACAATACTATAAAACATCTTGTATGTAAGTCATTCATTTTTTACCATGAACTTCTTATGGGTTTTGGAACAAACAACAAGGAAAATGCCAAGCACCTGCGTCTGTCAGTAAGATTGGGGTTTGCCAGTGGATAGGACCGTTCGCACTCTTCAATGGTAATGTGATGTACAGAATGAATGTGTTAAAACAATAACTCGTTCAATGCTCGGATGCCAACGTCGGAAAAGTGTGGAGAAAACAAAGGTTTTCTACAGATGAAACGCCCCGCACGGTGCATTAGCATTTTTTTGACGTATTAATTTTCTGAAGTTTCCCCAATGTTAGACACTATGCACTGACTCTGTTCCCAGGCTGCATTGATGTGAATAATGATAGATTTTTCATATTATTGATGCCCGCACATTTTCATATGGTACTAAATACTGTTGTATTTCTTTTGATGTCGTTTGGTCCTGACAAAGCAGTTATTTTAGAAAATTGAAGAAAACGGGTTTCGTGCGGTGTAAATACATAAATGTGCGTAAATACAGATATGGTAAATATAGATATATTCTTAAATGTAATATTGGTGAATGTCTACATCGCATTAACTTTTAAAACCTATGGATAGAAGTTCTGACAAACGATCAGTCGTAACTGAACTCTTCTTTTATGAAAAACAAATAAGAGGGCCTCCTTAGGCATCCTTAAGTATGTACATTGCTTATGCTTGTTGATTGATACATATTTACTTAATCCTGAGTATATTTGTGCATCCAAGTCACAAGGAGATTTATGTTACTGATACTTTTTCTATATCAAAACTTTTTTTTTCTTTTTTTCTGGCCAAGCAGAGCATTGGACCTAGATCTGTAAGTGTATATATGAAAGACATACAGCTCAAGGTGTAAAAAGATGTGCATATATCTTAAGTATTGCAATCATTATCATAGCAGAGCAGGTACATTATCTACCTGTGCACT